TTTTAATTATGACATACACCATGACTCAGATGTCATAGGAAAACACTCCCTGCAATTTAAATAGTAATTTTCTGATATTGTAGCACATTCAATTTTAGAGTAACTTCAAATTGGCAGGGCAACTAAGTCGCTTTAATGGATAGATTCCTAGTTTATTGAAGTCAAATTTATTTATGACGTCGGGGCGACAGAGGCTGCAGCGTTTAAATCTATTTCCGTCGCTTTTGCAATTGGAGTGGGGATTTTAAAAATAGTGGGCGTATCGGGCTGGTTCTCGTCGCAATGATCTACATATATTAGCGGTAGGCACGTACTGGGTTTTTTGGTTCCCAGCGCTCTTTCTTCATTTATGGTTTGGTAAAAGGCGCCTGCCAGACTCACAAGCAGTTGTCGTTGCTTGATTTTCAGGAGGATTTACCCACATCGATGTTTCGATGTTTTTGGGGGAATCACATCGATGTATCGAACTTCTACTAATCGCGAAATTTCAAGTCCATAATAATGCTTATAAATAGTGTATTTAATGTTAAATTGTCAACTAATTAATAAACTCAATGATTTTTATTGTCCTTTTCCTTATTGCATTTTTGCAATCTACATGCATTCGAATCTTTTAAAACATCTCCTTCCCTGCCCAATTTTTATACCCTGTACCCGTAGGGTAAAAAGGGTATATTAGGTTTGTGCAAAGTATGTAGCAGGCAGAAGGAAGCATCTCCGACCCCATAAAGTATATATATTCTTGATCAGCATGACGAAAGAAATCGATCTAGACATGTCAGCCCGTCTGTCTGTTCGTCTGTGTGTTCCATGTATACCTGTACAAAACAAATATACCCTTTCTCCCTTTGAGTATCTGTACCTATATCCTGGTAAAAAAAACATCAAACATCGGGAAAAAACTTGAAATGAATTCCAAAACATCGATGTATCGATGTCTCGTCCATCACTACAAGGATGCTTTCACCTACTGGATGAGTCGGCAATTTGCAGATTTCTCGGCTTTGTCACCGCCAACGGGATTTGGGGGCCATGACTCATTGTGAGTCACATGGGCGCGCATACAAGCTCATCGATTAAATACATACATAAGCACTCATATATGCAGATTCATATATTAATAATAAACAAGTTAAAAAGCTAAAGTCCCGGGTGTCCCGACTTTGAAATACTCTGTACATATGTTTACAATAATTATAGAAAAAAAAATAAGAAAATTTAAAAAAATTTGATCGATTTTACCTTTCTCGGTATTCGAACTCACGTAAAGGGTATATAATTGCACATATACAAAGCAATTGCGTCTATGTGAGTGTATGTATGTTTATGTGCGTCTATTTGTGTCTGTGTAAGCATTTTCGCAGTCAACTAAACAGCAACATCAACAACAGCCGCGGGCAGCGCTTGAGCAGCGCTGCAGCAGCAAATATATTTATGGCTATAACTTCTTGTTAAATCGGTCTATCTCAGTGAAACTTGACACACAGACACATAATAAGCAACTGGTGGTATTTCCGGTATATTTTAGTTCGAAGTTCCAAGAATTACGGGAGTTAGAGTAAATCGCATTTGCATGGGAGAGGGGGGAGGGAGGGAAATTCCAAAATATACATTTTCTGCGTATTCACACAAGGCATCTGGGACTAAAATTTGGTGTCTCTAGCTCTTATAGTCTCTGAGATCTAGGTGATCATACGGACGGACAGACAGACAGACAGGGCTAAATCGATTCGTCTTGTCATGCTGATCAAGAATATATATACTTTGTGGGGTCTACCACGCCTCCTTCTGCCTGTTACATTTTTCAGCTCTCGTACATTTCATGTACAGAGTATAAAAACACAACGCCATCGCTACAACAGCAGCGAAGATAACAACAATAACAATGGCTTTTATATTTTCTTTGAGCTTTTAAGCCGCTACCCGCTGCCGTTAATTGTTTCGTTTGCTTCAATTGACATGCATTGAGGGCATGGAGCGGGTGTGAAAGTTCATTGTAATTATTCAAGTTTACAGCACAATCGAATCGATGCGAACTTGTTCGTACGTCGAAAATGCGAATGATAGTGACAATAGCTCAAAATAAACTGTTTTAGTTATATGTATATACTGATGTACCTATGTATGTATGTATATACATATATAAGTAAATACATCCATACATGTATATTTTCAATTCGCACTCACTTCGACTTGAATTATTTTCCTTTGTTTGATGAGATCCAAATAGGTTTGCGGCCTTTCAAACTTATTTTTAATTTGTTACCACTTCCAAAACGGACTACTTATTAAGCAGATATTTACTTTGGGTTTGCGTACTGCAAACATTAATCACTTTTGCTTCACACATAGTATACGGAATCTAACTCCCCCCACCCCCGCCCCCCTGCGTACACCCTTGACCTCGTGTTAAGCAAAATCGTATTAATTATTCCTTGATTTCTACAAATTCACAAAAAAAATTGTAGGTTACATTTGCTTTGTTTTAAGGGTCCAAACATTTTCAAAGTTAACAAAAAGTTTATCCAAATGTTAAATATTTATCATTAACAGATTAATTTTATTAAAAACGAGCCTTTTTTATCGTAAAAAATGTTGAAGTAGCTTAATATAAAATTCAAGAACCATTTGGTGGCATTGGCATATAATCTGATTATAAACCGTTTTCGCGCTACACATTTTGTGTTTGTTTATGGTGCTTTGCTCTGGCTTGCAAACAAAACGGTCTTGAGATTGTTGTTTCAACTTTTATCGTATAAGAACGAGGTTTTTAGCGTGTTAAAAGAGAAAAGGTTGCAAATTTGTATACCCTGTACCCCTGTATTAGTTTGGTGCGAATGTATGTAACACACAGAAGAAGACGTGGCAGACCCCAAAAAGTATATATGTATATTATTAATCAGTATAAGAAGACGAGTAGATATAGCCATGCACGTCATACAGACGTATGAACGCAAGGATCTCGGAAAGTACAAGAGCTAGAATAACCAAACTTGGTATTCAGGTTCTCCTGAGCCCTAAGCAGATCAAGATTGTTTATTTTTCCTGATTTTCCTGTTTTGTGGAGAGTACAGGATGCAGGACACAATTTCTATGTAAATGTGCAGTTATACACGCTTTACGTGAGTTCGAATACAAAATTATTTTTAATTTTTATACTCTGTACATGAAATGTACAAGAGTATATTAGTATATACATATATTCTTGATCAACATGACGAGGAGAGTCGATCTAGCCCTGTCTGTCTGTCTGTTCATCTGTCCGTATGAACACATGGATTCTGAGAGACTATAAGAGGTAGAGACACCAACTTTGCACAAAGATGCGATATGTATGTACGCTGTGCAAGTTTGTTTTATTTTTTGATTTTCCCCCCCACTTCCCCCTTATGGGGATTTTCCCGATTTTCTATTAGTATAATCGCCTATATCTCGGAGACTATAAGACCTACGGTTACCAAATTTTAGTCCCAGATGCCTTATGAGAATACGCAGAAAATGTGTATTTTGGAATTTCCCTCCCTCCCCCCTCTCCCATGCAAATCGCGATGTTCTCTAACTCCCGTAATTCTTAGAATTTCGAAAGAATTTCAAATTTTGCTAATACCCCCAGTTAGTTATTATGTGTCCGTATGCCAAGTTTCACTATGATAGACCGATTTAACAAGAAGTTATAGCCATAAATATATTTGCTGCTGCAGCGCTGCTCAAGCGTTGCCCGCGGCTGTTGTTGATGTTGATGTTTGGTTGACTGCTAACATGTTTACTCAGACACGAATATACGAATATACATACATACACTCAAATAGACGCAATTGCTTTGTATATGTGCAATTATACACCCTTTACGTGAGTTCGAATACCAAAAGAGGTAAAATCGATCAACATTTTTTTTTTAATTCTCTTAATTTTTTTAATTTATATATTTATTGTAAACATATGTACAGAGTATTTCAACGTCGGGACACCCGACTTTAGCTTTTTTACTTGTTTTTATTCCTCCTGATTTTTTTCATTTCTATAATTATTGTACACATAAGTATGTACAGAGTATTTCGAAGTCAGGACACTCGACTTTAGCTTCTTCACTTGTTTTTATACTCTGTACATGAAATGTACTGTACGACTTTAAAATACTCTGTACATATGTTTACAATATTTATAGAAAAAAAAAAAAAAGAAAATTAAAAAAAAAATGTGATCGATTTTACCTTTCTCGGTATTCGAACTCACGTAAAGGGTGTATAATTGCACATTTACATAGCAATTGCGTCTGTGTGAACAAACTCGTCCTTTCTCGGGCTCAGAAGAATCTGTATACCAAGTTTGGTTATTCTAGCTCCTATACTTTCTGAGATCCTTGCGGTCATACAGACAGACAGACGGACATGGCTATATCGACTCGGCTTGTCATGCTGATCAAGAATATATATACTTTGTGGGGTCTGCCACGCCTCTTTCTGTGTGTTACATGTACACACGCACAAAACTAATATACCCTTGAACCCTTTGGGTACAGGGTATAAGAATAACATCATTAAAATATTTATGTACTGTTAGACTGATTTGTACAACAACAGATAAGCAAAGAAACGGACATTGCTAAGTTGATGCGCCGATTCGACCCACTTGATTTGTGAACTTATAACATGTGGTGTGCTATGTCTTCTGGGCGTTACAAGTATTTGACCAACCGCAAGGGTATAAAATTAGAATCGAATTTGAAAATGAATCGAAAGCGTTAGCGGCCTCGTAGCCATCGGTGCTCAATGTGCTCTGTGCCATTACCACTGCGTTACGCTGATAAGCTGTATCGCAGTCTCATTCGAAGCTGAGGCTAAAGCTGTGTTCCGTTGCCACTTCGTGCCGCTGGCTCAAAGCCGACAGCCGACAGCTGCGTCGTCAGTTAGCTCCGTTCTGCTCTGCTTCTACTTCTGCTTTTTGGCATGGTGTATTTAAGCGCCCGCGTAACTCGTCTCAGACACTTTCTGTTGTGTGGCGCGTTCGATCGTTTATGTGCATCTCTCCGACCTTTAAATCCTAAACAAATTTCCGCAATCCTCGTCGAGTCAAAACAAAACGTCGTCGTCGCTATTGATGTTACTGCTTCCCCTGCTTGCGGTGCCGTCTTGAGTGTTTTGTCGCTAAATCGATTTCGGGCTTTAAATGTGGAATATCGACACTGAGCTTATACATTTGATTTGGTTTAGTTTTACTGTGTTCTTTATATAGTGCCTTACTCTCTTTAATAACATACATTTGTTTTTGATTTTTTGTCATCATTCGTAAAATGCTAACCTAAATAATCAAATGCGCGAAAATTAATAAGCCTGCAAATCATTTGTAATGCTTACAAAAGTTTTAAAAAATTGTTAAGCCAACCTGCAACGTAAAAAGAGGACTAACAAAATCCAGTACAAACTGAAACAGTTGGGCATCTAAAGAAGCCAAATCTAAAAATAAATTTGTTCAACTTTTAATACATTAGCAAACGATAAAAAAAAGTGCTGGATATCCAACAACTCACAACTCACGTTCATTTGCTGTTTTTTTTTTTTTTACTTTATAAAACTAAAAATAAAGTGTACAATTGGTAACACAAAAATCCGATCAACTGCACCGTTGAGTTGCATCGCTGCAACAGGTAATAGTATATACAAAAGTAGTATGTAACATGTGTACGTAAACATGAATCATTGGCAGGGTAAAATCAGTTCTAATTACTTTGCCTGAGGGATTTAACACCAAAGGCAATAAAGGCCTTTCCGGCATTATATATATATATATATATATATATATATATATATATATATATATATATATATATATATATATATATATATCTATATCTGCTTATTAACTTAAAATATGAAACAATGAACAAGAGAGAACGCTAATGCCGAACAAGCCCGACAGTGAAATACCCTGTACCCAAATAAACTTCCAGCGCTGAGTTATATGCGCATTTAGCAGAAGCAAAAAATGATGAAAAGGATGATTTTGTTTAACATAAAGGTAAAGGCTTACATATATTTTAATTACGCATATAATGTTTGGTTTATGAAGCTTTGAAATTATAGGCAGTATTGACAAAGTTCTGCACCAAGTTTGGTATGTTTTGGGCTCAGTTGTTTCCGAAATCCAGGCGTTCATCCGGACAGACAGACATGGCTGCATCGATTTCTCTCGTCATGCTCATTAAGAATATATACTATACACTTTATGAGGTCACAGATCCTTCCTTCTCCCTTCTACATACCGTGCAGAAGCCTAATATACGCTATTTATACCCTGTTCCTAAAGGGGAAAAGGGAATATTAGCTTAGTGTGAATGTATGTAACACATAGTAGGAGACGTGGCATACACACCAAAGAATATACATTCTCGTCCAGTAAAACAAGACGGTTCGATATAGCTATGTTCGCCTGTCTGTCTGAAACTAGAAAAACCAAACACGGTATCCAGGTTCCCCTAATCCCTAATCAAGTTTTTTTTTCTGATACAGGGTGTTAAGACATCCCCTGCCACGTGGTACGATATCATTACAGCTGGACAGAAACCTAATCAGCTAGTCAGGCATTTAGAGACCGAGACACAAACAGATTGTGTTTATGCTTGAGACCACGCTATGATTTGTAGTGCATGCGGTGGAGGAATATTACATGCCAAGCATTCACGTTCACACGCAGTTTTTTTCCAGTTGAAGCTGTATAAATTTTGTTTTCTGAACAAATAGGCAACAATAATAAGTAAATCTAATGATATACGATCAAGCTACTGCTCCTGTGTTTATTGCATTGAAGCTTCATTTGTGTAATGCAAGGTAAATATGCAATTAGTATGTATACATATACATATGTAGGTATGTACAAGAAAATTTAATTGCGGATAGCATAGATGTGGAAACGCATGTATGTATATTACATCAGCCCATAGCTCGCATGCGGATAAATATTTAGTTCGACTGCTGAGCTTTGCCTGGCACGGTACCAAGGTCTTCGAAAGGGCTCCATAAACAAAAGCGTAGGCGATTATAACAGATCAGTAAATAAAGATTAGGAATGAATGGAACGTAAATGGGATAGATAGAAAAAAATAAACCAAATTGGCGGCAGAAGGCAATAGGGTTTTGATATCAGCTTATTTCTATTAGTATTAGTATTAATAGCTAAAAAAAATTTGCAGGGTGTACATTTCGTTTAACAATTGTGCTAAGCAATAAATTTATAAATTATCGAATTATTCTAATGGCACATCAGTATGCAAATAAACTTGTACGAGCACGGTCATTGAGAATATATACAAATGTATATAGTTTTAGCGTCAAGTGAAATGATTTGAAATCGAGACACTTTACCTACACAATCATTGGAGGGTGACAGTGACTGTGCTGACTATTTGTGCTAAGCAACCGAAACAAAAACAAAGCACCTTAAGCGGCGCTGAAATGAAGTTCAATTAAATGAAATACATGTGTAGTTAATTAATTAACTTAAAGCTCTCTCGGCATCCCCTCTCTCTATTGCTAGATCTCATGCGTCGCGTTGTAGCGTGCATTTCGAAAGCTCATTGAAACGTTTGCGCTTTCGTTAACGGTTCCTGTTTTCCTTCGTTCGCATACATGTGCTGTATATTATGCTAACAGGTTCAATGTAAATGTTGTTTGTATGCTGACACGTATACGAATACATGTACACAACTGTTGTTATTATGAATGGTAAAAGGGTATACTAGTTTTGTGCAAATGTATGAAACACACAGAAAGAGGCGTGGTAGATCCCACAAAGTATATATATTCTTGATCAGCAAGACAAGACGAGTCGATCTATGTCTGTCTGTATGTATATAAACCTAGATCTCAGAGACTATAAGAGCTAGCGACACCAAATTTCAGTCCAAGATCCACATGCAGAGAATTTCAGAATTTCCCCCTCGCCACAGCAATTTTTATACTCTGTACATGAAATGTACAGAAGTATATTAGGTCTGCGGGAGCTGAAAAATGTAACAGGCAGAAGGAGGCGTTGCAGACCCCACAAAGTATATATATTCTTGATCAGCATGACGAGACGAGTCGATCTAGCCCTGTCTGTCTGTCTGTCTGTCTGTCCGTCTGTCCGTCCATATGAACACCTGGATCTCAGAGACTATAAGAGATAGAGACACCAAATTTTCTACAAAGATGCCTTATGTGTGTATTCTATACGAGTTTGTTTTTTTTTGATTTTCCCCCCCACTTCCCCCCTATGGGGGTTTTCTCGGTTTTCCATTCGTATAATCGCATATATCTCGGAGACTATAAGACCTAGGAACACCAAATTTTAGTCCAAGATGCCTTGTGTGAATACGCAGAAAATGTATATTTTGGAATTTCCCTCCCTCCCCCCTCTCCCCCGCAAATGCGATTTTCTCTAACTCCCGTAACACCCTAAAATTTTGGAAATACCCCCAGTTGGTTATTATGTGTCCGTGTGGCAAGTTTCACTATGATAGACCGATTTAGCAAGAAGTTATAGCCGTAAATATATTTGCTGCTGCAGCGCTGCTCAAGCGCTGCCCACGGCTATTGTTGATGTTGCTGCTTAGTTGACTGCGAAAATGCTTCCACAGACATAAATAGACGCACATAAACATACATACACTCACATAGACGCAATTGCTTTGTATATGTGCAATTATATACCCTTTACATGAGTTCGAATACCGAGAAAGGTAAAATCGATAAAATTTTTTTAAATTTTCCTTTTTTTTTTCTATAATTATTGTAAACATATGTACAGAGTATTTCAAAGTCGGGACACCCGACTTTAGCTTTTTTACTTGTTTTTGATTTTCTTATTTAATTTCCATAGTTATATTAAGAATATATACAGAGTTTTTCATATTACCCGACTTTAACTTCCCTACTTGTTTTTTAATGGGTATGGGGTTTTTTAGAAGTTGGGCCCGTACGACTCTAGAATTTTATCTTTACTTAAGTTAATATTATTGAATAGATTATATATTCGCTGAAAAGGGAAGGGCTCAGTAGGAGTAAAGTAAAAGACAATAGTCGCGGACCGCCGTGCGTCTGTTCGCTTTAGAGTTTTATTGGAGACTGACACTTTTGCTATACATATTCTTTATGCTTACATTCGTATGCAACAGTGACAGATAACTTGTAGATAACATAAGATTATTATCTGCTTATATTAACATGCGTGCATTGGTACTTATGTTTGTATTGATTTTCAACACCCTTCCTCAATGCAAACATGTTTTACAAAAATTTTCAAATCAAATTTAACAGCTTTGTAAAATGAACATGCTTCGCTTTAGGGAGATTTTTCGTTAAAATATCAGCTATCATTTCATTGGTTGATGTATACTGTAAAACAATTTGTTCTTCGTTTACAACCTGTCTTGCAAAATGATATCTAATATCAATATGCTTTGTTCTTTCATGGTGTACAGGATTCTTAGCTAATTGTTGAGCACTTAAATTATCGCCATGAAGAATAGTTGGAGTACTCGAGTCACCGCAGCCAATCTCCACTATAAGACGCCGTAGGTATATGGCCTCCTTACACGCAGTTGAAAGAGCCATATACTCCGCCTCCGTGCTGCTAAGTGCCACGCTGCGTTGCTTTTCAGATCGCCAGGATATGGGTCCTCCAGCCAAGTAGTATACATAGCCAGTATACGACTTGCGATCGATGCGGTCGCCACCCCAGTCTGCATCCACATAGCCGGTAAGGGGTTGTCCACACTCTTTGTAGTGCAACTTCAGGTCCACAGTTGACGCCAGGTATCGAAGCACATGTTTTACACCCACTAGGTGCTCTGCATGCGGATCTTGATTCCGTTGAGCTAACTTGGCAACGGAATGCAATATGTCTGGCCTTGTTGTAAGCGCCAGCCACATTAACTCGCCAATTGAAGACTGGTAGGATGCAATGTCAACCTTTTGACAATGCTCGCTGGTACATATCACTTGGAAACCAGCATCCAGTGGGGTCGCTGTAGGTCTACAGGTCTCGCATCCATGTTCACGCAATATGTCTTTGATGTATTGCGAATTGCTTAGCGAAATTTCGCCAAGCTCACCGTCGCGCTGCACTTCCATGCCAAGGAACAAATGCAGCTCTCCCTTGTCAACACATTCAAACGATGTTGTAATGGCTGACTTGATGTTGGCCAAGTCCTCTTTTGATCGGCATGCTATAATTATATCATCAACATAAACAAGGATTAATGATAAGTCACCTCTTCCGTTCCTTTTGTAAAGACACGGTTCATTTTCACATGCTACAAAATCTATGCCTTGTAGTACACAATCGAGCTTGGAGTTCCACTCGCGCCCCGACTGCTTCAATCCATATATTGCCTTTTTAAGCAATAAAGCCTTACTTGGATTATTGGGATCTGTGTATCCCTGTGGCTGCTTCATATAAACAGTTTCATGCAGGTCGCTATTCAAATAGGCGGTACACACATCTATCTGGTGAAGGTACAGCTTCAATTCCGCTGCTAACGCCAAAATAAACCGCACGGTTTCCAATCTGCAAACGGGTGAGAACGTCTCTACATAGTTCACGCCATACTTCTGGGAGCACCCTTTAGCAACGAGTCGTGCCTTGAAACGTTCGACTTTTCCATCAGAGTCACGTTTCAGGCTGTATACCCACTTGCAACCAACTGCTCGCTGATCTTTTGGTAAATCAGCCATCTGCCAGGTTTCGTTTGATTGTAGTGCCTGATATTCCTTTTGCATCGCCTCTTGCCAGAATACTGCATGTGTGCTACCAACGGCCTGATCATAGGATGTCGGAACCATTACGTCACTAGCAACCAATGCTCCAAGCACATTGTATTGCTTTCTTGGACGACCAGGTTTACCATTTCGAACAATTTTAGGCCGGCCTGGCCCAATCTTCACAGTATCCTCGTCAGAGTCTTCTTTTTCGACTGCACTCTCATATGCGTTGGAGCTGCTGTCGTCAGAACTGTGCTCACTGTCATCGTCGTCGATGCTTCTGTCACCATCCGTGTGAGTGACATGCTCTTGAACCTCGCATGCAGGAAAATCTACCGTAACGGTATCTTCATTGGTATGACCACCACAACGCTCATCAAATAGAATGTCTCGTTTTTCGACAATCGTCCTCGTCTCTGGGTCGTATAACCGATAGCCTTTGGCTGCTACCGAATACCCAACCATACGGTACTCATGCCCTTTGGGTTTGAATTTGCCTTTACGGGGACCCTTTGCAAGTGCAACTGCAATGGAACCAAAAACTTTTAGATGGCTAACACAGGGTTTCTTACCTGTCCACGCTTCCATTGGAGTCAGGTTGTTCAGTGCACTGGTAGGTGATCTGTTTCTTATGTATACTGCTGTGTTGACTGCTTCGGCCCACAAAGACTCGCCTAGGCCCGACTGCACCAATAAGCATCTGGACATCTCCGTTAATGTCCGGTTTGCTCTTTCCGCCACGCCGTTCTGCTGCGGAGTATAAGCCACGGTCAATTGCCTTGCAATACCATGGTGTTTCAGGAAACCGTTGAATGTTGTGTTGACAAACTCGCCTCCATTGTCGGTTCGAATACATTTGAGCTTTTTATCTGTTTGCCGTTCAACCAAGTTTTTAAATTCGACGAACTTACTGAACACTTCATCTTTCTTCCGCAAAAAATAAACAAATATACGCCTGGACTTGTCATCGATGAAGGTCAGAAAGTATTTGGATCCAGCAAGTGACTTCGTGTCGAATGGGCCGCATACATCAGCATGAACCAGTTCCAACAGCTCTTCGGCACGGTTAGTGCTTACCTTTGGGAATGGCTGTACATGTATTTTGCTTAGCATACACGTTTTGCAATTCAAGTTGTCTGGGAAAACAACCTTTCCAATACCACGCACTAGCTCTTTGCTGATCACTTCCTTCAGACTGGTAAAATTTAAATGGCCATAACGCTTATGCCACAATGTACCATCTGATTCAGTTGCGGAATAACACCTATTTTGTTTGCCTTGAAACATATAAAGGTTCCCAACTTTATTCGCTTTCAGTATACACTCGCCGTTTTGTATAACTTTAGCAAAATGTGGCCCAAAATGTATAACATTGTTCTTTTGCACTGACCGGCTGACGGACATAAAGTTGCCATTCATTTTCGGTACATACAGTACATCTGACAACACCAAGGTACAAAGTTCTGTCTGTAACTTCACCTCTCCTCTGCCTTCGGCCTTCAGGAAACCAGCGTCAGCTAAACCGATCATTTCAGTGTGCGCAATAAATTTTGAAAATAACGTCTTATCGCAACACATATGGCTTGTTGCTCCGCTGTCCAGACACCACATGTTGTTCTCTATCTTTCCAACGTCCAACGCATTTAACAAGCTGCTCTGCTTTTCCATCTCTTTCTTTGTCGATTGCTTTTTCCCTTCACCGCGAATTTTCTCACGCTTGCACTGTGCCTTGTAGTGCCCTTTTTCGCCGCAGTTGTAGCAAACGACGATTTTTGAATTCCTTTTTGAATTCGCTTTGGAATGCGCGACGATCTGCTGCGTAGCTATAAATGCTCTTGCATTCTCGCTCTCTCCATCTGCATTGCCTCTGCGCTCTCCCTCTTCCATCAGCTTGATACATAACACATCAAATGACGGTAAATTGTCACGCGTCTCAATGGCGACGACAAAATTTTCGTATGGTTCGGGCAAGCTTGACAACAACACGATTGTTTTTAACTCATCATTTAATTCGATGCCAACTGTACACAAACCATCCAGAATTTCGTTAAATTCGTGTATGTAACTTGAAATGCTTTGGCCTTGAAACATGCGTTTGCCTAGCAATTTCTTGTACAGCGACACTTTCCGTACAGGTCCACTCGGCTGATGAACGTCCTTTAACTTTTTCCATGCCTCGTACGAAGTGTTGCAATTTTTAATGAAGCCCAATTGTGAAGCTTTTACACTTAGCGTTATAATTGCTAATGCCTTTTCATCTTTTGGCCTTGAACTCTCAGTATTACTAGGTTCAGCACCTGATGCCACACTCCACAATTCCGCGTGCACTAAGACAGATCGCATCTGTATGCTCCATGAGTCATAGTTATGCTCTTCCAATTTGTCTATTTGATATAGCGCACTCATTTTTTAAATGTTATATTTCTTGAGTCACCAAACGATTACTATTTCACAATACTTTGAACTTCTCCTATGAGCCTATATGCCCTGGGCCCATAACCTATTGAATAGATTATATATTCGCTGAAAAGGGAAGGGCTCAGTAGGAGTAAAGTAAAAGACAATAGTCGCGGACCGCCGTGCGTCTGTTCGCTTTAGAGTTTTATTGGAGACTGACACTTTTGCTATACATATTCTTTATGCTTACATTCGTATGCAACAGTGACAGATAACTTGTAGATAACATAAGATTATTATCTGCTTATATTAACATGCGTGCATTGGTACTTATGTTTGTATTGATTTTCAACAAATATAAGTTTTTTAAGTTAATATACTTTTTTAAGTTAATATGAGTTTAAGTTTCTATTGGTGGTGCCGTATACAATTTTGTGCGCATATTCATTTTCAATTGACATTCAAACAAGATTTAGTCAAATCACGAGGAAATCAGCAGATTGAACAGCCAATCGCATGTGACACATGCACAAAGCCAAAGGACATTGTCCAGTTGACATTGTCTCAGTGAGAATAAAATAATGAAGACTGTTACGAACTCACTACATACGAGTATTTAAACGCTAGAAAGCGTTTTTTAACAGCCATTATGTGAGAGTACAATTAACAATCCACTGTTAAAGACGATGCCTCCAACTAATGCGCTGGCGCGACTGTTAATTGGGCCATTAAGAATTATCGAGCGGTTTTTACACGTACGTGTGTATGTATGTGTATGTAGGCGTTGTGAGTAGTACTCGCGTACCAATTACGCCCAATGTGCGGATATTTAATGTACGACGACATTCATATGTACATACACGTATGTATGTATGGGATGCTATCACTCTTTTATTAATTTTGAGTGTTGCTATTATTTAACAATTAACAGTGTTATGCACTCGCATAAATTATTTTGAGTTGCGTTTAATTAAAATTTGAGTTTTGACTATTTCTCGGTGCTTCTATATACGTAGATTATCGGCTTCAATTATTGCTTAAATCTATTTTCTTTGGGCATTTTTATACTCTGTACATAAAATGTACAAGAGTATATTAGGTTTGCGCGAGCTGAAAAATGTAACAGGCAGAAAGAGGCGTGGGAGACCTCACAAAGTATATATATTCTTGATCAGCATGACGAGGCGAGTCGATCTAGCCCTGTCTGTCTGTCTGTCCGTCTGTCCGTCCGTATGAACACCTGGATCTCAGAGACTATAAGAGATAGAGACACCAAATTTTGCACAAAGATGCCTTATGTGTGTATTCTATACGAGTTTGTTTTATTTTTTTGATTTTCCCCCCACTTTCCCCCTATGGGTGTTTTCCCGATTTTCCATTCGTATAATCGCCTATATCTAAGAGACTATAAGACCTACGGACACCAAATTTTAGTCCCAGATGCCTTATGAGAATACGCAGAAAATGTATATTTTGGAATTTCCCTCCCTCCCCCCTCTCCCCCGCAAATGCGATTTTCTCTAACTCCCGTAATTCTTGGAATTTCGAACTAAAATTTAGTAATTATGTCTCCGTACGCCAAGTTTCATCATGATAGACCGATTTAACAAGAAGTTATAGCCATAAATATATTTGCTGCTGCAGCGCTGCTCAAGCGTTGCCCGCGGCTGTTGTTGATTTTGATGTTTGGTTGACTGCTAACATGTTTACTCAGACACGAATATACGAATATACATACATATACCCACATTGACGCAATTGCTTTGTATATGTGCAATTATACACCCTTTACGTGAGTTCGAATACCAAAAGAGGTAAAATCGATCAACAATTTTTTTAATTCTCTTACTTTTTTAATTTCTATAATTATTCTAAACATATGTACAGAGTATTTCAAAGTCGGGCCACCCGACTTTAGCTTTTTTACTTGTTATGCCCATACGATTGCCAATTGAGTTGATAAAAACTGTACGTATCGCAATGTCGTATTTGTTTAATTGAAGTGGAATTTAGTAAAAGACTTGATGAAAATGAAGGAAAACTAAGAAATACATTCAACAATGATCTCCTTAAAAAATGCCTTCCTATTTTCCAGAACGCTAAAGGGATAACAAAAGCATCTGTAAATTTGCAACATTCGCAGAAGATAACCCGAGCTCCTAAAGACAAATCAAAGTCAATTCCTTTTTCTTTTAGCTACGCGCACAAAAACTAAACAAGAACTTGTACAATAGAATGGTAGAAGGTGATTCTGCAAAAAGTAAAAGCGATTGTAAGTATGCTACAAAAAGAAGGAAAGTCGCACTTGAAATCAAAATTGTTTCCTCTTGACCCAATGTAACAGCCTATAATGTAGAAGCTGGCCTACAACCAAACTACAATCAGAGCAACTCACCAAGCAACCCAAACAACTTATCGCCAACGCACATTGACAATCGCGCTATCATTCAACCGTATTCGCTTGGCAGTGGCGCCAAGCAGCCTGAATATCAGTTTGCGGCAGTCAACAAGGCCTACGAGGCGGACCTGAGCAGCAACTACGCCAACAATGGCAAGCACGACGTAGAGCGTGGCGGCGCTGCTGGTGACGGCAGCTCCGATGAGGACGGAAAGGGTCGTGGTCGAGGGGGATCGGCGCCCCCACCACGCATCCCGATAGTCGCCAACTTCGAGCGCGCTATCGAACTGTGCGGATATGGCAAGTTCCATTACATCTTGCTGGCCATTTGTGGCTTGGTCAGCACTTCGGAGGAGATGGACGTTATCTCCATGTCGTTTATCCTGCCATCAGCCGAATGTGATCTGGATCTAAATACGGAAACCAAAGGCTGGCTCAATTCAATCATTTTTATTGGCATGATGGTGGGCGCGTACTTTTGGGGCAGCATAGCCGACAGTTTTGGGCGCAAGAAGGTGTTGATTGTCATCTCTTTCATGAATGGGTTCTGCATTGTGGCATCGTCGTTTTCGCAAACTTACTTATGGTTCATGCTGTTTCGTTTTCTCAATGGCGCAGCGTAAGTATAAAAACAAAATCTCGTATTATTTATTCGTCATAGTGAAATAGCTCAATACCCCATCACATACTCATTCTATTCAAAGTCGTGTTTTACTTCTAAATTCTCACTGATTGCTTGATCGAGTAACAAACCCGGCCCGAGTTCGAGCTAGGCCTCGAGCCTCAGCTTCTACCGCGATTAAGGTGTTAATTCAATTAACTTTGTTATAAATAACAACAATATATTTTAACAAAATATCGTGACTGTTTACGCTAATTAATCTTGGGCGGTCAATCCCGCAATCACAGAAAGCTAGCGTCGAAGATAAAAGCTTAAAAGCGGTAAAGGAAATGTGGAAATCTGTGCGACAAAGTACCTTGGCCACTGTACACTGAATTAACCATGAACAGTTTGAAGGACGGAAGCCCTACATAGCTATATACACACATTATTTTTCCATAATTTGGTAATGCCCCCTGATCCTATCAATATGATGCGCTTAACGAAGGCTTTAAAATAACCAACCATCTAATGGAACAACACTTAATAAATAAATTGCACTGATTTAGTGATTGGCTGGCATTATGGAATACTCGTAGTTGCATAGTAAATTACCATCACGAAATTTATTTTTTTTTATTATTTAAAGACAGTTTAATTTTCTTGTCAGTATATTATAAATAAATTATTTTTATTTTTGTCTGTCCCTCCTATGTAGGCTGGGAGGCAGTGGTCCTGTCATCTGGTCGTACTTCGCTGAATTCCAACCGAAAGCGAAACGAGGCTCTATGTTGAGTTTCATGGCTGCCTTCTGGACATTTGGTAATCTATTCGTGGCCGGCCTGGCATGGTTGATCATTCCAACGTACATCGGTTTCAAAACAACGTACTTCATCTATAACTCATGGCGCATCTTCCTGCTGGTCTGCTCACTGCCGTCGTTCTTAGTCGGCTTTCTGCTGTTCTATCTCCCAGAATCGCCAAAGTTTTTGCTCACGCGCGGCAAAAAAGAACGTGCGATGGCTATTTTTCGCGGCATTTTTGTGACGAACACTAAACGCCCGCCCGAGGAGTACATGGTGAACGACTTGGAGGTCGACGAGAAGATCATCTCGGAAGGCACTACCTCGATAAAGAACAAGTACAGTCGTATGGTATCAGGCATGGTGGAGCATAGTCGCGCTCTCTTTATGTCGCCCATACTCAAATTCACACTTGTCTCGATTACCATTAACTTTACATTCCACATTGGATACTACGGCCTCTTGATGTGGTTTCCGGAGCTGTTCAATCGGTTCGAAGAGTTTGAGCACGCTTATCCAAACGAGTCGGCCGGTGTTTGTGCGGTCACAGCATATGTGGTGGGAAAAGACGTAGCAGTCAACGCCACCTGTTCGTCCGACATACCGCCATCCGTATTTTTGGAGTCGCTTATCTCACTAGCTTCAGCCCTACCTGCCAATCTCATTGCCATCTTGGGAATGGATCTGTTGGGCCGCAAGTTCTTCCTGATTGCAGGCACAATGACTGCCGGTATTTGCTCGGCCCTGATGTACATTGTACGAAGTTCCGTACAAAATCTGATCGTATCGGCTGTTTTCAGCGGCGCAATCTCAGCGGCGAATGCGGCACTCGACTGTCTCATCACCGAAGTATTTCCAACCAATCTGCGTGCCACCGGCGTGGCCATCTCAATGGTGGCGGCTCGTCTCGGTGGAATCATCGGTAACATTGTGATCGCCCAACTGCTGGATAAGTATTGCCCGGCGCCTACCTTTATTGTTTCGGCGCTGCTCGTGGGTGGCGGTCTGATGTGTCTGATGCTGCCGAACACGACGCGAAAGGAACTAAATTAATGCAGCACACTCACAAACACATACAGACGTACACACAAGCCAACATAAACGTCCACCTCCACACACCAACTCCCACTGTAACACGAAAAATACCGGAAGCAATACCAAAACATTACCAATAAAATGTAATAACAGCAGCAGTTACATTAATACATACATACACATACGTATACATATAAATACATACTTCATATACATAATTACTTGGCTATATGGTTGTGTATTATTTAATATGTTACCATTACCTTGTGCAATATTTTTGTTCGTCAGTAACTATGATTAATTAATTAACTATTTTTTTTGTTTCCCATATTTAATACGATTCGTACATATATCCGATATTTTGAAATATCGGGCCTTTTTTGGGAGTCCGCCTCGCCCCCTGCCACAATGAAGGACGTCTATATGTACGAAATAACCCTTCCCTGTACTTTGTATGTATTTTGTAGTAGTGGTAGTAAGTAAACGTTGTTACTACATATTCTTCTTAATATAATTATTATTGCTGTATCTATTCATCTATATATTAAATATATATATATATATATATATATATATATATATATATATATACATATGTACACTTTTTTTTTGCCGTCATTTAGGTCAGAGCACAGTAAAAGAAATATCATTTGTAAATTTTAAGCTGGTTTGTTACATACAATATAAAAAATTATGGAAAAATACATAAACAAACAACCAATAGTTACTCTCTTTTTATATTTTTTGTTTATTATTAAGTGAAGTTTGGGGGTCTGGTTACCAATAAATACCGAGAATGGAATACTAGAGTCGGGTGAGCCAACTCCTATATACCCTTTACGAACTGTAAAACAAGTGGAAAAGCTATAGTCGAGTGTCCCGACTTCGAAATACTCTGTAATTATGTTTACAATAATTATAGAAAATAAAAATTATTAAGAAAATTAAAAAAAAAAATTGGATCTTTTTTACCTCTCTTGGTATTTGAGCTCACGTAAAGGGTGTATAATTGCACATAATTGCGTATATACGAGTGTATGCCTATGCGCATCTATTCGTGTCTGTAAACATGTTTGCAGTCAACCAAACAGCAACATCAACAACAGCTGCGGGCAGCGCTTGGGCTGCACTTGAGCAGCAAATATATTTATGGCTATCACTTCTTGTTAAATCGGTCTATCATAGTGAAACGGCATACGGACACATAACTAACTGGGGGTATTTGCAAAATTTGAGTTCGAAATTCCAAGAATTACGGGAGTTTGCGATTTGCGGGGGAGAAGCGGGAGGGAGGGAAATTCGAAAATACACATTTTCCGCGTATTCACATAACTTTCTTTCTAATCACTCTATCAAAATGAAACTTGGTATATAATCACTAACTGGATGTATCTACCAAATTTTAACCCAAAATTCCAATCCCAATACACTTGCACAAAACTAATATACCCTTTACCCTTTGGGTACAGGGTATAACAAGTAGAGAAGCTAAAGTCGGGTGTCCCGACTTTGAAATACTCTCTAGAATAATTATGCATCAGACAAAAAACAAGGGAACATAAGCACCAGTTACGTCGACGCCATTGATATGGTAGAAGAAAACGAAGAAAAGGAGATAAGAACAATGTCTCTGGAAGTCAGCGAAACAGCTATAGAGAGCAACAGTGACGTCACACCGCAAATGCAGAAGCTTATACAGTTTTTGGTATTAATTGTTGAAGGGATGAAGGCAAAGAAAACCAAATCAAAATAACGGCCGATAATTTTGAGAAAATGTTAAGAGATTTCGATGGTTATTCGGTGAGCGCAATGCCGATGCTTACGAATTGTGGGAGAAGCAAAGATATGTGCAAGCGAAGGGCAAAATGTCCGGAGCTGGCAAATTATTTGTATAGGCTGTACCCAAAGGGTGAAAGGCTATACTAGTTTTGTGCGCATGTATGTAACACACAGAAAGAGGCGTGGCAGACCCCACAAACTATATATATTCTTGATCAGGATGAGAATACGAGTCGATATAGCCATGTCCGTCCGTCCGTCAGTATGAACGCAAGGATCTCAGAAAGTATAAGAGCTAGAATAACCAAACTTGGTATCCAGGTTCTCCTAAGTCCGAGAAAGGACGAGTTTGTGTTTTTTTTTTTTTTTCTGATGCACCCCTCCACTCCCCCGCATAATGATAGGTCAATTTCGAAGAAAGTTATAGCCATAAGTAAAATCGCTGCTCATGCGCTGCCTGCAGCTCTGTCGGCAGCGCTGCCCGCAGCTGTTGTTGTTGTTGCTGCTTTGGTTCAACTTTGTGCTGCATACATACTCGCATATAAACACGCATAGGTACGTGATGTAAATGTATGCTGTTAAAACTGAACATAAACATGTATTCTAATTTAATTTAATTAATTCATTCATTCATTTTTTTAATAATTTATTTATTTTTTTAATTTTTTCTTTTGTTTTAATTTTCTTTTTTGTGGAGAGTACAGGCTATTTTACTGTCGGGCTTGCTCGACTGTAGCATTCTATCTTGTTAAAGTCAGAGTATGTAAGTGACTTTAATGACCTCAAACAGAAGCTGATTGATGAATTTGAGTGTTCTTTGAACAGCGCACTATGGTTTTTTTGCCCGTTTTTTTTGGCAGAAACTCGAAATATTAAGATAAATTTAGTTTGTACGCATATTTTGGTACCTCAAGACGACGTACCAAGTTTGGTTCAGTTTGGGCCACTATTTCATATAGCTGCCATATAACCGATATGGTCGACTTTCACTAACTTCAGTATTTTTAACTGTATCGAGCCAGAAACTGGCCTATATATTGCTCACATGCAATATATTTTAGTTCACAAAATATAAATAATTTAATATGAGTTTATTTTTTTTTTTTTATTTCCCCCCTCCCCCTTTTCAAGGCTACAGAGTTTCGTTAATACTGTCCACATTTCAAAAGCTACATAAAACACATCACACAAAACTTTGTACACGTAATTTATATAGAATCATCTATCTTTGTTTTAAATTTCAATCAAATCGGTACATTTTTATAAAAGTTATTAGTGAAAACATTTCACTCTAGTACTACGCCCACAAGCACAGCATCAAGCTTCTTCTTTTTGCTTCCGCTTTGGGCGTATATAACTCAGTGCTTGAAGTTTGTCTGAGTACAGGGTATTTCACTGTCGGTATTGCTCGACTATAGCGTTTTCTATCACGGCTCAAAATCGCCATCAACATCAGCAATCATGTTAAAAGCAAAACAATTTGTGTCTTTTTTGAATGGCTTTAAAGTTTGATTACAACTTGGCATGTGTTTTTTAATATAATTGGAGAAGGATTTTACTTTTACCGATATTAACATAGTATTGTATTCATATATTCTGCTTAAATGCGTATTCTGAGTCTTTGTGGCTGCTACAAATGTCAACAATGTTTGCATGCCCAAACAGTAGTTTTGCTGCAACAAACGCAATTTTACAGAAAACGTGCTAATTGGGACGAAGTTCTTTAGTAATTCCATAATAAACATATATTAGTTAGTATTTCCACATTTATAACTTTTTGCAACTCTTTACCATTCAAAAGTACTATTCCACGAAACACAGCGCAACTTATAAAGGTTAATTTAAAAAAGCACATGAACAACACATGACACAATTACGCGAACACACTTCATCGCTTAAAACAGTTTTGGATTATAATTTTACATACCTTGATTAACGTTTTCCATTATATAACTTAACTTTTGTGGGTTATTTTCTTTGTTCTGCAAGCTCTGAAAGTTTACCAAAAATTGCTACCAAAATCACAAATACCTTGATTAACGTTTTCCATTATATAACTTAACTTTTGTGGGTTATTTTCTTAGTTCTGCAAGCTCTGAAAGTTTACCAAAAATTGCTGCCAAAATCACAAATACATGTGTTTCACACAATCAGGTAACTTTGACTGCGCGCCAAGAAAATGGTGTTGCCATATCAGCAGGAATTATTTTAATTTTCGCTTAATTAAACAATTTATAATAAAACAAGATAGAACGCTACAGTCGAGCAATCCCGACAGTAAAATAGCCTGTACTCTCCACAAAAAAGAAAAATTAAAAAAAAAAAATTTAAAAAAAAAATTAAATTATTAAAAAAAATTAATTAATTAAATTAAATTAGAATATATGTTTATGTTTAGTTTTAAGAGCATACATTTACATCACGTACCTATGCGTGTTTTTATGCGTGTATGTATGCAGCACAAAGTTGAACCAAAGCAGCAACAACAACAGCTGCGGGCAGCGCTGCCGACAGAGGCAGCGCATGAGCAGCGATTTTACTTATGGCTATAACTTTCTTCAGAATTGACCTATCATGATGAAATTTGGCACACGGACACATAAGTACTAACTGGATGTACCTACCAAAATTGATTTCAAAATTCCGAGAATTACGGAAGTTATAAGAAAAAACACGAATTGCGGGGGAGTGGGGGGGTGCATCGAAAAAAAACTCAAACTCGTACTTTCTCGGTCTTAGGAGAATATGGAAACCAAGTTTGGTTATTCTAGCTCTTATACTTTCTGAGATCCTTGCGTTCATACGGACAGACGGACAGACAGACGGACAGACGGACGGACGGACAAGGCTATATCGACTCGGCTTCTCATCCTGATCAAGAATATATATACTTTGTGGGGTCTGCCACGCCTCCTTCTGTGTGTTACATACATGCGCACAAAACTAGTATAGCCTTTCACCCTTTGGGTACAGGCTATAATAAAATTTTTTATATTTGGACAACATTTTTTTTGGTCTTTCTGCCAAAAAAAAACGGCAAAAAAAACCATAGTGCAGTGTTGAAAAGAAGAAAGAAGAAATTGTACAGAACCAAATTAAATAAAAATATCTCATACTTGAAAATCGGTTGTTTATTTTCAAAGATATTCAATGTTTACATACCGACAGAAAAGATGGCGCACCCTGTATTAATGTACGTGTGCATTGGGCATGGTTATATGGCTATAACTTTCTTTCTGATCAACCTATCATAATGAAACTTGGTATTCGGATATATAATTACTAACTGGATGTCTACCAAATTTTAAAAACAGAGAAGGAGGCGTGGCAAACCCCACAAAGTATATATATTCTTGATCAGGGTGACAAGTCGAGTCGATATAACCATGTCCGTCTGTATGTAAGCAAGCAACTCAGAAAGCATAAGAGGTAGAATAAACAA